TCGGTCAAGATTCATAACGGACTTGTTGATTTCGTTGAAAATAGTGAACAAAGTTGAAAAATTTCACTGTAAACGAGCAACTGCGAACTTTCCAATCAAATTCGAGTAATGAGCGCTATAAGAAACGAGAAAAATACTTTCCAGACATGTTAAGTGCATTAGCATACGACTGTGCTCGATGATCCTGTAAATCGATGTTGTGATCATAAATCATAAGAAGTGCATCGACCATTTTCTGACCTGCATGTCGAAAACCGTTCAACTGGCTTTGTTCCTCCAAATATCTCACTACTACTGTTAGATATGTGATTCGTCGGGAAAGGAATCGACTGAAATTGAAAAATATTTCGCTTTCTTAATTCGCTCCGTAATCTCCTCAAAAAGCTTCTCTGCCATGATATCGATAATCTCGTCACAAACACTAGAGGATAAATAGCACTCACTTCTAGATGGTGCATTGGGCTGCTCCGATCCTTGTTCTGCTTTATTCTCTTTCCAGAGTAGCAGGTAAGAATAATGCACCAAGTGCACCATTAGTGCAAAATCTGAGATATTAACATTTGAATAATGCATGATTTTTAGTTCAAAATTACCCATAAATTAAATTACACTGTTTGGTGGAATTTGAGTAGAGGCAGCTTGCCAAGTCCGGCCAGAATAGGCAATCCACCTCATGCTGCTCCAGAAAAGGCAGTATTCTTTTCCGTAGGCACTCCTCCTGGTAAACTTGCTGGTTCATGGTCCCAGTTTCGATTTTAATCCCACAACTGCAGATTGCTTGCCAGACAAGGAACTTTTTGGGGAATGTAAATTTCTTTTTGATTGTATATTCTACCGGGGCACTCTTCCGGGTCAACCGAGGTATGAAATTTCTGCCCAGGAATTTGATCGAAAACTGGCAGGAGTGGATTGACCGGGATTTTCGATCGAGCGCGCAGTATCGAATCGCGACGTACTTGTTCCGGTGAAGCCATGATGTAAACAAATGAACTTATGCTGACAACCAATGCCTACTTGAAAAAAAATGAAGAAAATTAATGTTATGGCAACAATGTGTTCGCATTTTTTTTTGTGGTCAACCTTTAAGCTTATAAACTGTTTTAAACTGGTAAAAAATAGAATAAGACATGATGAGTCAAATATCGAGTGATTGGAATTGTTTATGCAAGATACCAGGGATTCATAAAATCCTTGAACTTCAATTCACAAGATCCCTGACGAGATTTTGGATCATTTGACTTTTGACAGGCTGACAAATAATCTTAAAATTTTGCAAATAAGAAAGTTTCCAATACTTTTTAACTTGAGAGGTGTCAGACTAAAGAAAGGAAAACAAGTGCCTGAATTAACCATTTGTTTTAAGATATCTTAGTCTTGTCTTTGGAGATTTGTTAATATTCATCGATTATTTTCAAGCTTTTGCACTTTGTGAAAATATGATACATTTTGGATTTAGCTTTAATACATTCCAGATTATTTGTTTTTTTAATCTTTAAATTCTGTTGTCAATTGCATTTTAAAGTAATAGATTGGGGTATGGTCTTCGATTAATTTGCGATACCTCTTACAACAAGATATTAGGAAAATGATTTTAAAAAAGAACTGCAAGATGCGGGAAATTTACAAATCATAGGATTAACACACCTTTGATGTTATCAAGGCCAATTTATAAGATCCGAAGTGAATTTTTTGAGAGCTTGAGAGCTCCGTCTCTCTAGCTAGAGCTGATCGCCGCAAAAGAGGCTGATGAATAGCCCACCCCGTCTGGTCCCCGTGGCTTTAGACCAGGGACCTGGGGCATTGTAGTAATAGAGTGAGAAAGAGCATTCAAATAATAACAGTTCTACTGAAAATTTACATGGAGTTCTCCTTAATTTTATCTGGAAATGCTTTCCAAGCAGTTCCTAGTCCAAGTTGTACCCAAGAAATTGTTCACAGGGCTACTTTAAAAAAACACTGATCTCACACAATTGACTTGAAGCTCTAGTCATAACCCTCGTATAGTTCATCCCAAAACTCCCTAGAACTTTTTGTCTGAAGCACCTTGGATTACATATCTCTAGAATCTATTCTAAAACCTGTTCAAAACTGCTCTGGAAAAAATTTCTTTCAATGGTTTTTCAAAGTAACTGTATCCTGTAAATCTAGTCTTGAGATTTTTTAAAAAGAGGAAGAAGCACATTTTTTTCAATTTGGCATCGAAGTTCACGAGTTTACCCGGTGACATCGAATTTCCGGTATTTTCCGGTTATACAGATTTCCCGGTCACCCTGATTATTTAATTTTGCAGTTGAATCTGGACTCCTCAAAGGTGCGAAACCGCAAATAAAAGTATGCTTTGATGATGTATCGTCTTGGTTTCTTATGCCTACTTTTTTGTTCGTTGGTTTAATGAACTTCCAACTAAGAACATAGCATACTGTAGCACTGTAACAATTTTTATTTATTTTATAACGATTGCAATTCAAGTGGGAATGGCGAAAAAAGTGACTTTAGTGACTGTTTCTACGAAGACACAAATCCAGTTAAATGTTCTTTCACACGGATATGGCATCAGGAATGAGCGTTGATTAAATTTATGTGGACCAGATTTCATCCGATTTGGTTTTACTTCAAATTTCAGCCGAAGAGGACAGCTGAGCGTGCCGATTAAATGATTCGTCGCTTGCTCTACTGCTGTTACATAGTACCAGGTCTAGCTACATGCATAGTCACTTGCTTGAAACCCAGCGAAAATGGCTATTTTGTTTTTATGAAGCTATCGGGAGTGATAGATTGATCCTATGCAAATTCAAGTTTACAAACCTTGCTCGTTTATTTTAAGCGACGGAAAAAATAGGTAGCAACATTTATTTTTTTTACCTAGGATTACGTCTTTCGGCAACGAACTGGGAGTGCAATTTCAAAAAACCAAAATTGACCGCATTACGAAAAGTGGTCAGGTTTTGACCACATCTAAGTCAGTCAATAGCGGTTGGATTTTAATTCTAAACAAGCCAATCGATTGGATATTTTTCTACAAATCTGCTAAAATGAACAATTTATTAATTTTCAATAGGTCACTGTTGAAAATTACACAATTGTCCAACTGTTGCAATGGTAATCAAAATTATCACCGATTGCCTGCAAACGCGCTTTCCCTAACACAGATTTCAAAATCTAATTCCATCCGGTCTCACTGAACGGTACTTATTCTATCATCGTGTGTGGGGGTGTCCGGTTGGTCGTCATCAGCAGCAGCAACAGTGCTTTCGGCGCGTGGCGGTGAACATTGTTCTCCAGTACACAACGAAAGGCGGCCCGCAAGCAGCGAGCTGCAGCTTACATGAGCGTCTATTCACCGAAGAAGGAGGATGTAGCTCTTCGTGAGTCGCTGTGGGCTCAGTATTACTCAACCATCACGACGAAACGGTCCTTTTCAGGACCACCTTAAATTTGTTGAAGATTATTTTCTGGACATTTGTCAAGGTTATCAATCGGATGTTAGTTCCCATATGTTTATCAACCATACCATGTATTTTTAAGGCAACATTGGCGGTGAAATTTCAGAAACCAAAGTCGCGGCATGAAAGTGGTATTATATTGATGCAGAGATGATGGACCACCATAAATTATTGTTATTTAAGAGTTGATTTCCATTGAACGTTCGGTCGCCTTGCTGCCAGCCAAAGCTCTTTGATAATGTCCCCAGAAACAAAACTTTTGTGGCCAAATGCGTTAAGTACTGAAGTGCTACATAAGAATTCTCGCATTGACCGAATACCACATGACCATGTCAATTAACCAGAAACACTTCGTAAGGTTTTCTCCAGGATGCTAGATAAATGCATATTATTTATAATCCAAAAATTTCGTGCGTTTTGTGCACGAAAATGCGTAATTTTGACATCAGAAAACAAGGCGTTTCCGTGATTGGAAAAATGGTTTCCCTAACACAGTCGCCGAATACTGATACCAAGCACTGAGTATGCCAGAAGGTACCTATCTTTATGTCTTTGGATGCAAATTTTACGCCTCTCGTATTAATGGAATTTTGTTAAAAAAGAATCTTGCCAAATTCTCCTACTAGAAAGGGCTTAAAATTTGCATCAAGAAGCATAAACGTAGGTACCGTCCGGTATGCTCAGATTCTGTGGTTGATGTGTTTTCCCTAAGAGGTACATATTTCATTTTCGCACCGCTATTATCTCCAATAACATCGAGGACAAATTTCCACAGCATTGTTCTAAACTGGCTTCCAAGCTTCCAACCCATCGGTCCTTTTCCTTTGCTTCCTAATTAGAACCTATCGAACTTTTTCACTGATAAAACGAGTTAAGAAATGAATTTAATATTTTCTATACTTTTGCTGTTACATCAAAACTACCTTTTGTACGGTGAAATGTACGGTCGTTTCTTGGAAGCAAACGCCCTACTTTTTTTTCGTCGACTTGTAGAGTGCTATTAAGGCCCCATCCACAATGAAAAGTATACGCGACGAATGAGAACGTCCCAAATTTGAGTTTAGTTCACTCTTAATCGCCAAAAGTGCAGGAACTCAACGATGAGTGAATTTGCCTCATGATTTTTTTTAGGAAAACCTAAAAAATCTGCCGAAAAATAAGGAAAATTTACGAAAATTTTACTCATTCTAGGAGTAGTACCAATATTTTTTTTTTTTTATTTAGTTCTTTATTAAGGAGATTTTTAGCCTATGGCTAGTAGTACCAATAGACTGAGTGAATCCAATCTTTACTTGTCTCATATTCGGGAGGTTTTTCCTGGGCAAACCAGCAAAAACATGAGGCAAATTTACTCACCGCTGAGGTTCCTGCACTTAATGTGGCATGAGTTAACTAAGCTCAAATTTGGGTCGTTCTCATTCGTCGTGTACATCATCACTGCAAGATATAATTTAACCAATGATAACTAATCTATGTCGATATAATCTCAACAAAATATACCATACTAATAAAACACCTCTTTTTATCTGTTTCTTCTTCTCTCTTCCACATTACCAGTTGATGTAACATTTGTCATAGATATATTAATTAATTTTCGAACGACGTTCGTCAACGGTCAGGATGAGGTGGTATCGCATCCGGGCCGCATCGCGGTGCATTATCTGAGCGGCTGGTTTCTGATCGACCTGGTGGCGGCGATCCCGTTCGACCTGCTGCTGGTCGGAAGTGATACGGACGAGGTAAAGTACTTCCTTTCTCCAACGCTTTCCCAATGCTAACTTCTCTAACGGTACTATGAATTGAAAAAATAGGCTATTTTTTTGTTCATTTTTCTCAACGACTACGATCATATTTAGAGTTCTAATTTTCTAGTTTCTACTCTTTTTCAGTTCCGAACCCTAGGTTTCTCAGATAGCTTTTTCATCCTAGTTTACCTAACTAAAAAAGATTCCGAAGGAAATTATACCAAACAACCAAATTTGATAGTGCAATTAGAGTCCTTTGTCCCGATGATAAATCGATTCTGTTCGTCCGTCCTGTTTATTAGTTGTAAATATGTTTCTGTTTTTCTGTTTCGAACAAATAAAAAAAAATCTATACCCCACCCAACAATTCGATTAGGAACATCCTAGAACATCCACTCTTAGACGCATTTATACAGTCATGGGAAATAGATTTACAGTTTCTTATCGATTAAACCTACTGCCATCCAATGATGTAAGTTCAGAGAAGAAAAAAAATCAAACACCAAGCAAGCCATGGCGAATCTGCTTTGTTTTGATTGGCGGATTCCCAAGGCCTACCGAGATTGAAACCAAACAAAAACATGTTCATTTTTCATCCAACGAACCGAAAGCTGCTTGAAAAGGATTGAATCTTTTCCCATTTTGTAGGCAATTGGTGATCAAGAAAATGTTAGGAATTGATTGATAATCGTAAAACAATATGATATGAAAGCATTTTTTTTCCAAAGCAAACAAAAGGCAGATCTGCCTCTATGCGTGCCCACACGTGATGGTTTTTTCCTTTCCGTTCCACTACTTTCCGTTGTTCCGTTTACATCTCTTTTCGTTTGTTTTAACTGGAATCGATTTGACTTTACCTTCCCTCATTATTCTTGTTTGTGATTCGTTTCATCCATCTTATCAGTCTTGTTTCTTGGACGCCGGAAAAAAAATACAGTACCTACCAGTTACTGACCGAGTAAATTTTCCTTTGTTTCGACTTTTGCGTTTACCAACCCCCACCACCCTTCTTGAGTGTTCCACAACCGACATCAGGAAAACTCCAGACTTCAGTTCTTTTGAGGTGAAATATATCAAAAAACAACAGAAAAAGAAAGTGATTGTCTCTTCGTGTGTGTGCTCGTACAGCTGCCTGTGTAGTGCCTGTGATGCTGCCGCTGCTATTCAGTCCGATAGAAGCACGGTGCTGCAAAATGGAGGAAATTTAAAGAAGTCACGAAAAAGTGTATCGTTATGTTGAAAGTTCCTTCCACATCCCACGTATGCATTTATACATTAAGAAACGAATGAATGGTTTCCTAGAGCTTACTGTTTCCGTTTGGTGTTTGTCTCTCTCTCTCTCTCTTTCTCTCACTCTCCACCTTCTCTTTCTATGAGTAAAAGTTACAGAACTGTATCGAAGGCAGAGGTATACGAGGGATAAAGTTATATAATATTCTCCATTTCTTCATCCGTGTTCTCAACTCGTGTACCTTCATCTATGTTGCGTTGTGTTACGTTTATTTCGTTATACTTAGTATTATTAGTTACAAGAGATGATAAACTTTTATTTTACTAGAATCTAGGCTTTCACTAAAATTTGAATTTACTTCTAGAGGCACGAAGACTCTCCCAGGAATTAGTGATGATGACTATCAATTTAGATCTTAGCTTAGCGGTTTAAACTACTACACTGATGTCAATTACTCATAAGATATGAAGTAGCATGGCAGTACACTTTCATGACTAGTCGAATGAAAATTAAATTCTTACAGGTTTCGTTCGTCCCTGAAGTTATTCGGGTTATTCTGCATCGGGCATCACTTGGTATTTTTTATGGAAATAGAAAAAGTAATTCAAATCGCGATTGGACAAGAGCAGAATAAACTGGTACATAGACCCATGGAATATTCATTGTATACTCAGATCTTGTTTAGTGATTGGAGTTAATTCGCTAAGTTGCAATGTTTTCGAGACATCTTTAAGTGCGGCTATTTGTACTGAATGTACTTGAAATTTTAGCACACAGAGATTCAAATATCTTAGCATGAATCTTCACCAATCCAATGGTTAATTTTACCATAATCGCTCTATAATATTTCTCATTAATATGATATGATATTATGCTTTCGAAAACCCAAAAACAATAATCACAACAACTACGCTCATTACGAGAGAGTCACGCATTGATCTGCTTTGTTAATCAGTTTCAAAGAGTTTGAAATCCATCGCATTTGTCTTCATGAAGTTTTTTGGGTTTCATGCTAAACGACAATTTTCTTCTTGTATTTACATAAGGCCTGTACTCGAAAAAAATGCACCAGACAAAAGTGTTCGCCAAAAATTTATTTTAAGTCAGATTTTCTTGAAACTTTCAGGGAATGAACTAATACATATGGATTATGTTTCGGCATAATTACTTTATTCAATTTTCTTTCCATCGCTGAAAGCCCGCACCTTTCCCTTAAGACTTCTCATTACATTTTGTGCAATGGTGGAGCCGACCTTTTTGGTCACTTTCATCCATTCTTTCTTCAACTCAAGCTCGTTCTTAAACTCCTTGGACGATTTTCGAACTTTGGCCTTCATTATGGCCAAAAATCTTTCCACCGGACGAATCTCTGGTGAATTTGAGGGGTTGGCGGGTTTTGGTACAAAAACAACGTTATTGTCTGTGTACCAATCCAACGTCGATCGCGCGTAATGGCATGATGCCAGGTCCAGCCAAAATAATGTCTCGCCTCCGTGGGACCGCAGGAAGGGCAACATACGCTTCTGGAGGCACTCGGTGCGGTAAATTTCGCTGTTGATGGTACCCATTGTGATGTACGGTTTACTCAGTCTACCGCATTGGCATAAGGCCTGCCAGAGAATGTATTTTTTGGCGAATTTGTCCACTTTCTTCTTCCTTATGTCTTCCGGAACATCAAACAGTGATTTGGCAACGTAGAACTCCAGCCCCGGTATCTGCTTTGCGTCTGCCTTGATGTAGGTTTCGTTAAACATAACCACACACATCGGTTTCGTTAACCACTCTTGATACAGCTTCCTTGCGCGGGATTTGGCCGCCGTGTTTTGTTGAACACGCCGGTTCGGTGCCTTCCGGACCTTGAATACACGAAGCCCAGCTCGTTTCATGGTTTGCTGAACGAACCAGGCGGAACACTTTGCCTTCAGAGCCGCGTCGCGAATCGAAAGGGTCGGATTACGCTTGAAATATTCCAACACTTTCCGGACCTTCACAGGGTCAGCTGTCTTCGATTTTCTTCCACTTCCAGTCCGCCGCTCGGTCGTCTGGGACTCCTTAAACGATTTTACCGCCCGAGAAACAGTTGTATGGGTGATTCCCTGTTGTCTTCCGATCCATCTCATGGTCGCAGTCGGATTTTCCATGACGGCCCGCAAAATTCTCCGGCAATTTTCTTCTTGTTTCGATGACATCTCAATAACCACCGAACCGATTGTTAATTCCATGCTTAACTGAAATTTTCAGGGCCAGTTTGCGGTTGAACCACATTCCAAAACTTTGGCGACAAATTTGTGTGGTTTTTATTCTTAAAGCTCACATAAAGGATAAAAAGAGTCCAAAATCCTTTATTTCAAAGTAGGTATTTAGGTTCGATCCCATTAAATAAACAGTAATTTGCATACCAACACGGAAAATCAACAATGAGAGCACTTCATACACTAGTGACAAAAATTGAAAAAACCTTTGAAGCCAAAGAGATTATATTAGCTGCGTTTCTATATATTGAAGGAGCATTTGACAATGCATCTCATTATTCAATGAGGAACGTTATGATAAAACGAAATTTTGATAAAACTATCATAGATTGGATTTTTGAAATGTTGCAAAAACGAGAAATAACATGCAGTCATGGTATTTCAACGGTCACGGTAAGGACCGTGAAGGGCTGCCCACAAGGAGGGGTTCTTTAACCTTTGCTGTGGTCACTGGTAGCCGACGAACTACTATTACATTTTGAAGCGCAAGGATTTGAAATAATTGGTTTTTCCGATGACATAGTAATCATTATTCGTGGGAAATATGAACACGTTATCAGAGATAGGTTACAATATGCTCTTAATTTAACGATGGCGTGGTGTAAAGATGAGGGGTTGTCCATAAACCCTCATAAGACTACTATTATACCATTTACACATAAAAGGAAAATAAAAATACCAGATTTTCACTTGGAGGATACTAAATTAGTCCTTTCTCAAAAGTTTAAGTATCTGGGAGTAATTCTTGATAGCAAACTCAATTGGAACTTACATTTGAATAAAATAATAAGTAAGGCTACTAATGCCCTATGGATAAGCAAAAAACATTTGGTAATAAATGGGGACTGAAACCTGAAATGATCGATTGGATCTATAAGGCTATAATAAGACCCAGAATAACAAATGCATCATTAGTTTGGTGGCCAAAAACAAAAGTTAAATAATCTAAAAAAAAACTCGAAAAGTTGCAAAGACTTGCTACAAGAATGGAAACATCACAGGAGCAATTCGTAGCACTCCCTTTAAAGCGCTAGATACAATGTTAAATCTTCTTCCCTTACATATATTTGTGCAGTTAGAAACCGAAAGAAACGCACTAAGATTAAAAAGAACAAAACAGTTTTTTGATGGGGACCTTAGGGGTCATCTCAGTATTTTGAAGGAATTTAAAATTAATTATTAACCATTAGATTATTAACTCATGAAGACTGGATGAATAGAGAGTAATACTTTGAAAGACTATTCAACGTCACTGAACCTAGTCGCACTGAATGGGAATCAGGGGGACCTAATATTCAACCAGGATCGGTAATTTTCTACACTGATGGCTCCAAATTAAACAACAGAATTGGCGCTGGGGTAACGGGTCCTGGTGTCAACATATCAATATCTATGGGTAAGTGGCCAACCGTATTTCAAGCAGAAATACAGGCAATTATTGAATGTGCTACGGTTTGTTTACGTCGTAATTACAAACATACAAATATATATATATTTTCTCTGACAGTCAG